TTGTCAAGGAAACTCTGTGATAGATTCGCCTTAGGGTTGCCATAAGTCAGAAATGACTTGAAGGCACACAAGAACAATATCCATGAACCTGACTTTGGCTTATCCTTAAGGGGTTTGGGGGGGGAGATAAAGAAGCAATGTCTAATCTCTATCTGTTCCTCATGTTTGTCTCAATTTGTTTCTCTCTTTTGAAATCTACTGTTTCAGGGATAACTTGTACCGAATAAGCCTGGAACCTACCTCGGCCAGTGAGATGAGGTACCACCGGGTAAGTGGGAAAACGGACCCCAAATATGATTTTCTTTTACCCGTGCCCCCCAACTCCCCTTTTCACATGGAACTTGTGGTTTCACTATTGTCTGCTATTGGTTTATTATTTATTTATTGCAAGGCTGGGTAAAATGTGGTCCGTGGGCCACATGTGGCCCATGGGAGCCCAAAGTGAAACCCCCTCTGAACCCCCTAGAAGCTGTCCAAAGTCCCCAGGTTCCCCCCATTAAATTTTTGTCCATTTGGGAATGGTTTTTATACCTCTAAATGGGTCCCCAGCACCCCAATCCAATTGCAAATGATCAGTCAATCAATCGGACTATGGATCATATGCCACCAGATTTATAATTCATAAATCTGGTATCGTAACTCGATCTACTAACTTAATTCTATGGTATTGGTTTGTATCATTTAGGTAATGTCTCTATTTTATATGGTTTTGGGTTATAGAGTATCAAGTTGGGCCTATTGACCGTACATATTGATTGATTGATTGATTGATTGATTGATTGCAAATAGAACCGCTTCTCTCCCTTACAGACTGGGGGCAAAAATGAAGGTAGTTTTAGGATTAAGATCTGTAAGATTATTATTTTTTTCCTTCCACTTGGCTGCACCTTGGTTTGGTCTTATGATCAACCGCTGATCTTTCCTCATCAGTGCAATTCTCCATTTCATTGGATTCCCTGCTTCCCACACTTGCAAAGAGCCCCCAAATTACACATTTTCAAAACCAGACATAACCAGAACATCATTTCCCATTTCAAGAAAATGATCCAGATTGGTCTGTAAAAGTTTTAAGAAATTGAAAGCATACTCTCCAACATTTCCCAGATCAAAACAGGGTCACTTGTAGCCAAACAGGATCAGAGTGTGGCCAAGATGGTCAAAGTTATTCACACGTAAAGCTAGGAAAGCCTGCTGTAGTTTGCTTTTACTTGAGCCGACTGGGAAGGGCAAGATGGTGCTATTCCTCTCCTCTTTCCTCTTGCTAACTGAATGCAAACTCCTTTTGCACAGTGAACTCAGTTTGCAGCAACGGAAACAGCCTAGAGAAAAAGGAGGAAAGCGGAAGGAGGGAAGAGAAACTGGGACATTTTAATAGCAGCTGGAAAATTGGGATGGTAGAGAATTAATCGGGATCGTTCCTGCCAAATCAGGACATTTGGAGGGTACATGACTGTGGGATCAGCACAGCTTTCCATAGATAACTATCCTTGCTTTAGAGACATGTTTTCTTCAGGGGTATGAGGTTGTCGACACAGGTCCCTTTTTGTTCTGACATTCTTCTGTGTTTTTGGACTTCCCGCAGAAGCTGACATGGACATCGAATCAGCACGATATCAACATCTGTCGGATGAAAGGGAAGCATGAGGTAAGTTCCCCCGAGGGGTAGAAATGGGACAAGACATGGAGTAAATGGGAGATCTGGTCCTATTTCCTGGAGGGGGGAGGGTGCATTTTCTTCCTCTATGGCTGCATCCGCATTGCAGAAATAATCCAGTCTGACACCGCTTTAACTGTCATGGCTCAGTGCTAAGGGATCCTGGAACTGCCATTTGTTGCAGCACCCGAGGTCTCTGACAGAGAAGGCTAAAGGTCTCACCAAACTACAATTCCCAGAATTTCATAGCATGGAGCTGTGGCAGCTGAAGCAGTATCAAACTGGATGGCTTCTGCAGTGCGGATGCAGCCTATGTTATCCAGACCCTGGACAAACCGAGCTCAGATCCTGCTTTGGAGAAAGTCGAAGTCTGCAGCTTGAATAAATTAACGCTCATCCTGCCGAGCTGCCAATAATTCCCCCTTTTGCATAATTGGTTCTGCCAACCATGTGCAGAAGGTGTTTTGAGCATACACACACTTACATACATAGACAGCTTCTGAATTATTGCTGGGTGAAACCTTTTCCAACACTTCCGTAATGTTTGCATCCAGATCCCCATTCAGATACCTTCTGCAGAGCATCCGAGAGATCCTAAAGGTTGGTTGGATGCATAAAGATATATGAAGTTTGCCATTTTACCATGGTGTTGTACAACTAGGGGTCAGAGTACAAGCACTTATTGATTTATTTGTTGTTGTGTGCCTTTAAGACATTTCCAACATAGGGCAACCCTTTGGGCAAGTCACACCCTCTCAGCTTCAGAGGATGGCAATGGCAAACTTGCCAAGGAAATCCCACAATAGGGTCGCCTTAGTCACCATAAGTCGGAAACAACTTGAAGGCACACAGCAACAATAACAAACAACAAACAACAACAATTGGCTACCTGACCAATCAGGGACCATTTCACCATTGCAATGGTGGCATGACCGCTCAGGAAATTGGTGTGCGACAATGTCACGACCAATTCGGGATCATGCCACCAGTGTGAACAAAACCATGGACAATTGGGGATCATGCCACGACTGCACCAACCTCATTCTCAAATTCCCAAATTCCATCTTTATTTACAGTCAATAGACCCGGTGAGACATGCTATAGCCTAAAACCATATAAAATAGAAAAGATTACACATAACTTTAACCCATATAAAATAGAAAGCTTACCTAAAAGATACAGGAATTGTATGTAAGATTACATTATCAGATTGGGTTACAACGCTAGAGAGTGTTGTTGGTCATATATAATTAGAGATCTAGGGTATGTTGCCATTAGTCTGAGCCCTTTTTTGATAATTCGGTCTCTCTAATGTTAACAGCTAAAGACAAAAATTTTGCAACAGAGAAGGTAATATTCATGCATTTGCCTTGCCACAGTGTCATGACCTATCAGGGATCCAAGTAAATCCTGATTTATCACACGGAGGCAAATCCCGTAGAGAAACAGGATTTCAAAATCCACTAAACACCTGCAAATGCAGGTTGTTTTTCAGATGCAATGGCAGAAAGAGAAATAACATGAAAATAATCCGAACGGAAAGTCAACAAAAAACAATCCTTTCTATTTTCGGAATTTCCCGAAAGTAAAAAGGAGCGGGTTTTGTCGGCTTTCCGTTCAAGTTATTTTCGCGTTATTTCTCTTTCACGCAAACGTCATCTGAAAAGCAACCACATTTGCAGGGTTTTTTTCTACTTTTTGTTCAGGTTAACCCCAAACGTCACGTGAAAAATAACCTGCAAAAGCAGGTTGCTTTTCACTTTAAATTTAGTTTCTGCACGGGATTTGTCCCATATGATAAACTCCTAAGTCATGGAACAGATGCAGCCATAGAGGAAGAAAATGCACACTGAACAAAATCATGGACAATCTGGGATCATGCTACAATTGCAACATCATGACCTATCAGGGATGCAAGTAAATCCTCCAGATTTGGTTCTGTGACATCCCTGATCATGAAATGTGAAGGGGATCATGTTCTCAGCCCATTTCTACGATGCGCTCCCCCTCTTTTCCGCTCAAAGCCTTTTGCTGCGGAGCCAACTTGCCTTCACAGACACTTAGCTCCGCTGCAAGGTGTGTGCGCGCACTCCCCCTCCCAGCATCCCCAGCTGCAAACGCGAACCTCCTGAGCTCCCAAGGGTGTTTCCTGCTCTGGTCCTTAGCCTCCTGGGATGCCTAGCGCTTCTGCCATGTGCGCAGCCAGGGGAGGCGTTAATAGAATCTGGAAATTGGATTTCGCACCGATTATGAGATGTGTCTGTTCCGATCAACGGACCGGAAATAATTAATTACAAAAGCAATTATACCAGGCTCCTAATAAATCACATTGGATATAAAATGTTTTCAAGGAGCTAGGACTAAGTCAGGGAGGAGGGAGGGAAGAGAGAGAGAAGGAAGGAGTATGCTCAAGGTAGCATGTGCGAATCCTAGAAGTTGGACTCAGTGGAGAAGTTCCCCAAGAGGCAGAGAAGAACTGGGTCCGGAGGCAGAACAGTTTGCAAATTCCATTTGCAAAAGCTGAGGCCTTTCTCCAATCCCGGGTGTGTTGGGCCCAGCGGGAGCGGTTCATTCAGCTGGAGGCATAAAAGCACTCTGTGCATGCTCAGAGGCCCCCTTTATCTTTGACACAGAAATTCTGCCCCATCTCTGAGAGCAATAGGATCAAGCTGATCCCCTGAAATGGGAGGAAATTAGTTTGCTAGAGCCAGCTACGATTCCCAGGCCTGTCCTCCTTTTTTCCAGGATATGCCCTCCATTTCAGCCTTCTTGCCCAAGGGGAACTTCAAATGGTCCTCCATTTTGAGCAGGACTATATATATATATATATATATATATATATATATATAT